CATTCCTGTATTTCTTGTATGTTCACCAAGACTGCATTTATTTGATCAAAAATACAATAAAAACAGTAATATTGTGAAATATTTTTACAATTTAAAGTAACAGTTTTCTATTTGAATATATTTTCAAATGTAATTTATTCCTGAGATGCAAAGCTGAATTTTCAGCATCATTACTCCAGTCTTCAGTGTCACATGATCCTTCAGAAATCATTCTAATATGCTGATTTGCTGCACAATAAACATTTCTTATTATTATCAGTTTTGAAAACAGTTGTGCTGCTTAATATTTTTATAGAAACCATGATACTTTTTCAGGATTCTTTTTAGAAATAAAGTTCAAAGGAACAGCATTTTGTTGAAACAAAAATGTTATAAATGTCTTTACTGCCACTTTTGATCAATTTAGTACATCCTTTCAGAATAAAAGAGAGAAATTATTAATTTTTTATATTTATTTATTCATAAGAACTTTCAAAAAACACAAAGAAAAAAATAATTCTTTCAAAATTAAGATGAAAAAATTACATTGTGGCAAACAATTAAATCAAGTCATTATGTTAAGAAGAGAAGCATCAGATCGCTTACCATGAAACAGCATTCGTTCATTGTGGTGGTTGTGATTCTCGTCTGCGATCTCTTTCTGCCTGTGTGTGTATCGCTCTCTCAGTTTCTTATTCACCACCTTCTGGATCTACAGGACAATTTCTCTTAGATTTTGCTCAAGAGTAGAACAGATATTTACGATATCAATTATGAAGCTAGATCAGTTACCCACATCTATCAAAGCAACGTGATCCTACAGTATGTTTATGTAAACCTTTTTTGGACATCAATACCTATTTTAGAAGAGTTAAATATCACTAATGTTGAATGCATCTGGTGTGTTTTACCTTGATGACATTGTATCGATTGAAAACGCCACCTGCATTTCCTCCGTCCCTGTGCTCCCGAATTGTGCTTTGCATCTGTGACCAAAAAAACAAACACTCATCACACACAGCTGAAGCAGACGGGTGTATGAAACAGCCCAGAGCCGATATCAATTATGAAGCTAGATCAGTTACCCACATCTATCAAAACAACGTGATCCTACAGTATGTTTATGTAAACCGTTTTTGGACATCAATACCTATTTTAGAAGAGTTAAATAGCACTAATGTTGAATGCATCTGGTGTGTTTTACCTTGATGACATTGTATCGATTGAAAACGCCACCTGCATTTCCTCCGTCCCTGTGCTCCCGAATTGTGCTTTGCATCTGTGACCAAAAAAACAAACACTCATCACACACAGCTGAAGCAGACGGGTGTATGAAACAGCCCAGAGCTCCAAGTGTTTTTGTTTGTACCTCTTCCTCAACAGACTGAAACTCTTTATCATCCACGGCCAGGTCGATCAAAACTGTGCCCTGATTGGTGCAGTGGAACGTCAGGTATGGGTTGGCACCTGTGCGTATAGATAACAGGATTTAAATGTAATAAAAACACACCGATTCAAGCAGGAGCAGCATTTAGGAGCAGTTTTATGAGATAGCCACTCACCCTGCTGTCCTCCTAGCAGCCTCTCGATGCCTTTGATGAGTTTATGACGGTGTCCGTAAGCATTGATGCCGATCTCCTTGAGTTCCTCGTGACCCATATCGGCCAACACGTCCAGAGTGATCTAATGGACACGGCATTAAAAACATGAGGAAATCCTGAAACATCCTTCCGGAAGAGGTCTCTAACAAAGTTGTCTCGGTTTTTCTCACCTGTTCGCTCTCGAAGATGTCCCTCAAATGTTCAAGCCCCAGACTCTTCAGGAATTGTGAGATGTTCATATCCAAGACAGCTACGGGGCAAAAAAAACAACAAAAAAAACAAAAACAAATTTTTTGCAAATTAAGAAATCACTAAAATATGCTGGACAAGATAACAACTGAAAAGAACATCACGTTAAATAGTTGTAAAAAATCAGTGTAGTCTGATTCCCAAACAAATGGCTCTTATGAGGTAGTTCCTTTTAGTGAAACAAATTCATACAGCACAATCAGTGTAGTCTGAAGCGATATCCACATGCTGGACAGAACAGAGAAGGCAGTTACACATTATGCTACAATATTGCTGTTTACTATTAGTACAAGTTCATGCACTATTGCTAGACAGTCCAGTCACCCAATATTTAGCCATTTTGAGAACATGTGCATTTGTTTTGCCAGTTATATCACAAGAATAAGTTACATTTTAAAATATATTCAAATAGTAAACAGTTCTTTTAAATTGCAATAATATTTCATAATATTACTGGATGTTTGATCAAATAAATGCAGGTTTGGTACAACAATAATTCAAAACCCATCCTTCACAGATAAAGACATTTATCCATACTAAGGCCCTGTCCACATGAACGCGGTAATTTTTTAAACCGCAGCTTTTTCTACGCGGTTTGGCCGTTCGTCCAAACGCAGCACCAGTTCAATGAAACCGAACATTTTTGAAAACTCCTGCCAGGGTGAAGATTTTCAAAAACTCTGGTTGTAGTGTTATTGTGTAGACAGTGAAACCGGAGTTTTTGGCTTGTGACGTCGGAGCCTGTGCTGTTATCTTCGCCTACTGGAAACTTTTTCAGGCTTCTGATTGGCCAACATGGCTTTACGGTTGAGATTATATCGTTTTGAACTGGTTGCAGTGTTATTGTGTAGACAGTGAAACCGGAGTTTTTGGCTTGTGACGTCGGAGCCTGTGCTGTTATCTTCGCCTACTGGAAACTTTTTCAGGCTTCTGATTGGCCAACATGGTTTTACAGTTGAGATTATATCGCCACCTGTTGGTTAGGCATGCTCTTGACAGTGTGTCATAGCATGTGTTTGCCTTTTCATGTGGACGGAGATTTTTTTAAAAACGGAAGAAGGAAAAACTCCATTTATAAAAATACCCGTGTATGTGTGGACATGGCCTAAGACCTCTGACCTTCCCGCATCCCCTGTTTTCTCACCCCATATGAAGCAGCGTTATGCAGAGGGATTAGTCCTCCTTTATCCTGAGCGTTCACATCTGCTCCATGCTCCAGGAGATACTCGGCCACCTCCAGGTTATTGTAACCAGCTGATCAAAAATGAATGAATTCATCATTAAACCACCAGAGAGATGAGATAATATAATATAATAATGTTGAATGTGAGAATATGGCTGATGGTAAGTTACCTGCTAGGTGCAGTGGTGTGGAGTTCCTGCCCTGTGTGTCTCTGCAGTTGATATTCTCAGGGCTGCAGAGTTTCTGCACACGGGCCAAACAGCCCTTCTTAGCGGCATCCAGCAGGGCGGCGTCTCCACGCAGAAGGTCCTGGATGTCTGTGTCTCCGTCCTTCACCATGTCCAGAGCCGTATTGCCATCACGGTTCTTCTTAGACGGGTCTGCGCCGTGCTAAAGAGAGAGTAGAGATGTTACTGCAAAATGGATGTGTTACACTCTTAATAATAATCATTAATCCTACATTAATTACATTTAAGGCTGCAATTGATTTAGGAATACACTGTTTTGGGCTAAAATTTGGCAGCTGAAAAATCAAAATATTATTTGTTATTTTAAGGTCACTGTTTGTTTTGGATATTAATAATAACAATACATTTAAATTGAATATTATATTAATATGATATTAATTAATATTTTTTAGATATTTAAATATTCACATAAAAACATAATATTTAACAAATGTATATGTTCCAAAAGTTTCCACAATTGTTAATTGGAATTTTTAAAAAAAAGTCTCAATAAATCTCAATATTTAAATCTCAAACTCAGTCAGAATTATTATTTAGAATTACTTTTAGGTCACTGTTTTATTTGAACATCAGTGACAATAATAATAATAATATATATATATATATATATATATATATACATACA